AAAAAATGCATTTTATTAAACATTTTTAAAAGCCTAATTGTGAAGCTATTATGATAAATTTTATAATAAGTACTTTATATAAGAACAACTCACGAGCAACACACTGACATTTCCCATAATTTTCTAGGTGGACTTAAATCATGTTTATGGCGAAACTCTGGATAGACAGCATAAGTTGCGCCTGTTCAAGGATGGGAAACTGAAGTATCAGGTGTGTTCCCTTTGAACGTGAAGAATTTGTTTACGACTTACCCCTTTCACCTATATTTTAACAATTGTAATGACAAGAAAATGGTCTCTGCTTTTTTATCAGTGTTTCTTTTTTACTGTTATCTTTTAGATCATCGACGGAGAGCTGTACCCACCCACAGTCAAAGATACCCAGGTAGAGATGATCTACCCGCCTCACGTCCCCGAGCACCTGCGGTTTGCTGTGGGACAGGAGGTCTTCGGTCTGGTGCCCGGTCTGATGATGTATGCCACCATCTGGCTGCGGGAACATAACCGGGTGTGCGACGTGCTTAAGCAGGAACACCCAGAGTGGGACGATGAGCGTTTGTTCCAGACAACCAGGCTAATACTGACTGGTAAGCAAGAAGGGGAAAGAAACAATTTCAGATAGACCTCATTTGCTGTCTTTGCTGTGTTTTAAATCTGAGGGAATGTAGTGTATGAAAAAAACACACAGTATATGAATTGAACCCGTGAGCACAATTGGTACTATAACTACCCTTCGTTTTGACAGTAGTGAGGGAAAAAGTGACAAGAATGGAAAGAATAGCAAATTGACAAAACTACATTTCATACACTTGCTTGGAAGTTGGTGATCAGGAAGAGTTCATGTTCTTAATTATTTCGTTCAAATAGGAGAGACTATTAAGATTGTGATCGAAGACTATGTCCAGCACTTGAGTGGCTATCACTTCAAACTGAAGTTTGATCCAGAGCTGCTGTTCAACCAACAGTTCCAGTACCAAAACCGAATTGCTGCTGAGTTTAACACTCTCTACCACTGGCATCCCCTTCTGCCTGACACCTTTCAGATCGATGACCAGGAGTACAACTTCCAACAGTTTGTCTACAACAACTCTATCTTACTGGAACACGGACTGACCCAGTTTGTTGAGTCATTCACCAGGCAAATTGCCGGCAGGGTGAGCATTATTACTGAAAAAAGAAAGGCTAGCCAGTATCTTCAGAATCTCTGCAATATAAATTATTTTTCTTAAATCTATTGAGAGTAATCAGTGACTTTGCTAGTGAAATTATTTTCTCGAAATAAGAAACCTGACATTGCCTTTGAAAGGCATAATCATTTAGTCTACATTATCGGACAATTAACAATATGTATCCAGCCTTAAATACTTTTTTTTAAAAAAAGTTTATTTCTTCCCTGTACAAGAAAAAGAGAGACAGCACCCCCAACAGGGTCTCGATGACCCCACCCACCTCTAGCCTTTGGCCAGCTCCAGATCATGGGCAGGCATATGGCTGGCATATTTTGGGAGTTCTCTAGACTTAAAATAGAAACCCTCCCACGTGGGAATGCCTCACACATTACGTTTTATTGCTGTGCCACCATTAGGCTCCTTCTGCCTTAAAACTTTTTAAAAACTTTCTGCAATCTTAAGTATTATTACCCCACCCACCTCTAGCCTTTGGTCAGCTCCAGATCATGGGCAGGCATATGGCTGGCATATTTTGGGAGTTCTCTAGACTTAAAATAGAAACCCTCCCACGTGGGAATGCCTCACACATTACGTTTTATTGCTGTGCCACCATTAGGCTCCTTCTGCCTTAAAACTTTTTAAAAACTTTCTGCAATCTTAAGTATTATTGAATAAACATTTTCGACTTAAATACCACTTAAATTCTTAGCATTTTAAAAGGTCTATTAGTTGTAGGCTAGTGTCCAATTGAATTATAAGCACATGAAATATGAGCATCAGTCTTACACTGTACCTAAGGAATACTTTAAAAATATAAATAGTAAGTATGCCTAAAAATTGTGCTTCACAGTTTAATTCATTTTCTGCAGGTGGCTGGTGGTCGGAATGTTTCCCCTGCGGTGCAAAAAGTAGCAAAGGCTTCAATCGACCAGAGCAGAGAGATGAAGTACCAGTCCCTTAACGAGTACCGCAAGCGCTTTTCCCTGAAGCCCTATGAATCATTTGAAGAACTGACAGGTGAGAAATAGTTTCTAAACTTAAAGGATTCCAGGGTCAAATAAAAGCAACAGAAGTCGAAAGCACACGAAGTAAAGGGGTGAAACTCATTTTTTTTGGTAAAGTGTTACATGGTTTGTATCTCTGTCTTCACCCTTCTTGCAGGAGAGAAGGAAATGGCCACGGAGTTGGAAGCACTGTATGGTGACATTGATGCCATGGAGCTGTATCCAGCCCTGCTGGTGGAAAAGCCACGCCCAGACGCCATCTTTGGTGAGACCATGGTAGAACTTGGAGCGCCATTCTCCTTGAAAGGACTGATGGGTAATCCTATCTGTTCTCCTGAGTACTGGAAGCCCAGCACCTTCGGTGGAGAAGTAGGTTTTAAAATCATCAACACAGCCTCCATTCAGTCTCTCATCTGCAATAACGTGAAGGGCTGTCCCTTTACTTCATTCAGCGTTCAAGATGCACAGCTCAGCAAAACGGTCACCATCAACGCAAGCGCTTCCCACTCCAGACTAGATGATATCAACCCCACAGTACTGCTAAAGGAACAGCGCTCAACCGAACTGTAGCGGTCCACGGGTCCTATTTATTTATTTATATGAACGATGCCGTTTTAACTTAATTATTTAATGATATTTATGTTGTCCTCATGTTACTTAACATCTTCTGTTACAGAAGGCTGTACTCCTGTTGCGGAGAAAGGGGTTACACTTGTGAAGGTTTTTGTATCACTACTCTAAAGATGTTTTTCCTTCAAGTTCAAGGGGAAGGCCGTTTTCGTTCTTTTTTGGTAAACCGATGAGAAATGGACTGTTACATCTTCTTACTTGAATTTCCATTTATATTATGTTACAATAAGAACAAAGTATGGATGTGTAAATCTTGTTTACAAGGTGACAAAATGCTGCAAGTTTTTACACTGTCAGTCTTTCCACTGTCTCTTTCATGATGCATTAGACGCAACTAGTGTTCTGGCATTTTACTTTCTGGGTATTTGTCATCAAACAAACAAACAAAGCTACAAGAGCATTTTTTAATGGATGTTTAAATCAGACATTACCCATAATTTCATGCCTATTTTTTAATCGGCATTGAAAGAATCCTTTAACATTTCTAAATTCATAGGATAAAGTCTCTTAGAAGTGATTCTAAATTACCATTCCTGGTGAAAATGTTGCAGGAGATTTGCTTCTTCACCAGCAGTGAAAATATTATTACTGCGACTGTTACAATTTCCTTTTATATCGAAATGCCTAAAGTGTTAAGGTGCTGAAGACACTGCAGTCCTGTCTTAAAACAAGAATTTATTTTATGTGGAGAGATTCCAGAATTTGATACTATGGCTAGTAGCAAGCAAAATCTATAGCATCAAAAGATTCTACACTTGATATAAGAAATAACAAGAAAATCAGACTAGTTCAAATTTGGGTTTAAACTATTGAAGGAGACTGCATTTCACCCCTGTGTACTGCAGGCCTGCTAGTTAACAGATTTCATTCTGAGGCTCATGAGTTCCTAAGCTGAACTTGGATAGTAATCTCTGTCTTAGCCTTTCTGTTGCACAGTATGCTGTAGCAATCCATAATACAGGGGGAAAAGTAGCAATGGCCTTAAAACACCTCTTCAAAATGCTTACATTTATTTCACATATTAGCTCCACAGAATCTTGGTAAGCCCATTTGGCATGTACATCGCCTATGTATGCTCCTCTTAGTTTTTAAGAGAAGCTTTCCTCTGATGGATTTCTTTCATCTGTGTTGTTTTCCTGGCTTTAAGGGCAGAGTTCATCTTTCTTTGGACTCTACTTTCTTACTTGAACTTTTAAAAATTTTCAGGAAAACCTCAGCTCAGGACTACTACCTAGCTCTTAGTAAGAAGAAAATAAAAGCCTCTTTTTAAGAAAAGGATCCATTGATTTTAACTAAAGGCAGAGACTCTTATTTATAACTAATTTTAACTCTCTGTAACCAAGAAACCTGCAAAAAGGGGAATACCTTAGAGCTATAGGATGTTCTTGAAAGGACAGAAGCTGTACTCCATGAGCGTTCTGACTAATTCTCAGCAATAATGATGATAATAATAATGAAATATGATGATGACAATGCCAGTTTTCCACATCTCATTTCAGCTGACATTTGATGGTACTGTACTTAATTTATTGAGGATTATTTATGTTTTATTAGGATGTTATAAATTGTGTAAGCTTGCAATCATTTATTTAAAATTATGTCAGAATCAATATATCTTTGGGGGTTGCCTCTCTAAATTATTATGTAGCCAATCAAAAATGATTGGGTTAAGACTTGTGATTAAATGTCCAGAAACTCAACCCTGGTATATTGAAATGTTTAAGGTTGGAATTTATGTCTTTTGGATTTTCCTCACATCCCCCCTACAGAGATCGTTGTCTCATTAGCCTGGATGTACCCTAATACTGACGGTTCATACATTTTTGAAGGACCTGTGGATACTTCATTGATTTCATTCAACCATAATTTATTGAGAAAATATTCTGTATCAAGTGCTGTAGGTTTTAATATTTTTAAATCAAGCACTGATTCCTGATAAGAATAGTATTTATGTAGATAACTGAAAAAATGAGTGTCTAGGAAGAGGGGAAAAATGAAATAGATTTCATGAATGAGAAATAACTCAGGAGATATTTAAGATTTTTTTAAAGGGTTAAGATAAGAAATAGTCAATATTAGAATGACTTGTATTTGTTAACTTGATTTTTTTTTTTTTTTTTTTGAAAACTTGATCTGTTACTAACATCAACCTGCTGACCAAACTTGGAACTTCAGGTTGTGTATGTGAATGTTACAGTGCCTCAGACAAGTGTCTATTTAAATTAACTTATGTAAAGTGTAAGCCTTGAAACAAATCCCTGTTTATTTTTATACTATTTAAAGACTGAAAAAATCTCTTTGGAAAATAAATTTTGATTGTTTCCAGCTATCTTTGGCATGTGATGTGTGATCTCTCTGAGACAGAATTCTTACAGTAAACCATTATCTTGTGTTCCTCTATCTGTTCAAAAGTAGGCTGGCCCTTAATGTCATGCTCTGCCCTCAGTCGTACAAAAGCTTCCTGCAGTCGTTATTTATAATCCGTTACTCACTGCCATAGTACTTGGGAAATGTGGCTTTTTTTTGTGCTTCACAAAATAGCAACAGGCTTGTTTTCACGGCCTAATCTAGAAGGGAGAAGAAAAATACACAGAAGGGAAAGAATAAGACATGGTGGGCTGGCTCCAGGGTGCGGCAATAATGTGCTGCTCCAAAGAAGCCAGATCCTACAGGGCAACCACAGTTCCCATCCCTGGCCTGGTCAGTCTGAAACACGCTGGGCACACGCAGGATCCGGTGGGTGAGAGGACGAGGAAGAGGATCGTGGTCTAACTAGGCCCAGTGGTGGGTGCTCCTCGCTTTCTCTCATGTTCCACATGTGCTCTATTGTGAGGAACATGAAAATTGTATTTATTTTTTAATTGCTAGAGAGCACATGTGCCCTTGAGAGAGAAGGAGAAGAGAGAAGATCTTTTAGTGGGGCGTGGTCATACCACAATCCCTCCTCCATTTCTTCACCCTGTTGGGAGTTAGGGCATGTTTTTTAAGCTGCCAGGGCTGGCCATCTAGGATTTATCTCCCTAGAAGACAAATGTTACTAAAGAAATACAAAATTTAAAACTGAAGTTCAAAGAGGAAGACAGAGAAAATGAGAGGAAGGAGAAATGACAGCTGTCTGGCTCATTGGCTTCTGTTGTACTCTGGCTCTTGACATCTTGAGAATTTCAATACTATGTGGACCATATATTTAACATACGGCAATCACCAGTATGCTGAGATTGTACTTCAGGGTGATTTGCCTTTGCTAACCATCCTCTTTCCAACACTGAACACCAAAGTATTATGTTCAGACCTCAAGCTTTACAATGATAGTGTTTGAATAAAATTGCAGGGAAAAAAAACTTGAACAAATTACAATCTGCATTCTGTTGCTGATCCTGTAGAATAAAAATAGTATATATATATACACACACACAAACACACACACACATACTATATATTTCCTATAGTCATAGTTCATCGTATTCCATCTCCAAAATCCTGATTTCAAGCACCTCCTTTACTACCAACACTTGCAGCTCATATACTTTAGCACTTGCACTCTAAGTTTCCACTTAGCCTACAATCTGTCAGCTCACCACTGCTCTGTTTATCCTTCCTTTCGTCTCTTCATTCTTCTGGTGTATCCAGCTCAGATTTCATTGCCCATTCGTATAAGCACTGCCTCACTCTCATTTTACGCTCCCTCTGTTGCACGTAACTGGCACGTTTTGATTAATTTCAGCCATTCTCCTGATCTGTTTCTGACTGGGCTTCTCAGGAGCATTCAACACAAATGTCTTGCTTCTTCATTCAAAGTTTTTTCTTAGCTCCATGATTTGAAATCATACTCTTCCGGCTTTTCTTTTCCTTCACAGAGTGCTACTGTCAGACCTTTTCTTCTAAGTTCTTCCTCCTAGGTCTATAAGATGATGTGTCTTGATCCTTTCCTTCTCTGTCTGCCCTCTTCCAGGCTAATCACCTCTGAGCTCCTCATTTGAAATAATAATTGTGGGACCAGCAGTTGGGATAGTGGCTATGTTGCTGGACTCCCATGTCATTGACCATGGTTTGAGTCTCAGACCCACACTCGCCCAGTGACTTAAACTCACACTGGGCAAGTGTGTGTGCATGCCCAAGATCCCGAGAGGAGAATGGAGGAGAAGGGATTGTGGTGCGGCCATCCTCCCCCCAGGGGGTGATTTCTTGCTTTCTGTCTCTCTGTCTCTCTCTGTCTTTCTGGCGAACACATGTGCCCTATAGCAAAAATCTCCCTCCAAAAAATTTAAAAAATAAAAGAAACAATAATTGCTCCCAAATTTAAGTCTCAAGGACCAACCTCTGTTGCCAATTGACAATCTCTCCCCTCACCTTCATAAATTTGATTGCTTATTTTACATCTCTGCCATTCCACACCATATACCCCAAATAATAACTATCCAAAGTTAAAGGTGCCATCAATCCCCTAGTTCTTAAGAAAAAACTTATCTTTTCTTCCATAGCCAATTCAGCATCCATCCTGTTGATCACATCTGACAAACAAATCCTCAATCTGTCCCCTTTTCTTTGACTCTGAGACTATCGAACTAACCCCCATTATAGTCATTATAATGCCTAGTGTTTCCTTAGAGCAATGGGAGTAATCATTTGTGAGCATAAATCACATCGGACCTCTCCCGCTCTATGAAATCTTCCCATGACTTCTTATTACGTGATAGCTAAATACGAACCCCTTATCCTATCCGATGAGGATCTCCCTCACCTATCCCTGACTTATCTGCCTCATCTCCTCCACTGCAACCCCAAGCCTGTTCACTTTACAACAGCCACACCTGCTTTCTTCTGATCTGCTCCCTGGCAGCGACTCTCAAGCTGGTGTCCCTACTCAGGATGCCTCTTTCGTAGATTTTCACATGGCTGGACCCTTCTCCACATTCCAGTCTTGGCTCACATGTCCCCTTTTCGGAAAGGCCTGCCTGTAACCAGCCAAACTAAAGCAACTACGGAGGCTGCTTCATGCCATTTATACCATTTATGTCTGATATTATCATGTTTTGTATGTTTATCTGTTTATTAATATATTTGTTTTCCTTCTCTAAAATTTTATATCTAAGAAACCAAGGACTTTGTCTGCATTTCTCAGTGCTCCCAGAACAGTGTCTGATATTTACAAAGCATTCAAAAACATATGAATGATGAATAAGAATAAGCTTCATGAAAAAAGTAGAATATGTGGTGATTTCTGAAAAGTGAGTAAGATCTTAGAGATCAGAGTCATCTTCTCTTTTTGGAGAGGTTTTTATTATAGGGTGCATGTGCTTGCCAGAGAGACAGAAAGCAAGAAATCACTCCCCCAGGGAGGATGGCCACACCGCAATCCCTTCTCCTCCATTCTCCTCTCAGGATCTTGGGCACGCACGCACACATGCCCGGCGTGAGTTTAAGCCACCGGGTCCGGGACTTGAACTGCGGTCGACTGCATGGGAGTCTAGCAACATAGCCATTACACTAACTGCTGGTCCCAAAACCATCTTCTCTTAAAAAGGCTAGTAGTTTCTTCCATAACTAAAAATTCACTTACCATATATATCATTTTACACAGCATCACAGATTGACTGGCGGAGACCAAGCTCTATAGGTCAGAAATAAGAAACTGGTTTTATCAGCCCAAATCCACGTATCAGCACTGCTGCTTCTTTGGAGAACTCTAGAACAGGTTGTCTCTGTCTTTCTTGGCCTCTAGAGACTTCCTGCCTCTTCAGCTCTTGATCCCTTTCTCCATATTGAAAGTCAGCAAGGTGGCATCTTTCAATGCCTTTAGCTCAGACCCACTGGCCTACCTTTTGTAAGGACCCTTCCCATTACTTTGGGCACATATGGATCATCAGGAAAACCTCCCCTTGTTAGGGTCCTTAATTTCTTCACATTTAGGAAATCCCTTTTGCCAGGTAAGGTACATTTTCAAAAGTTCTACAGATTGAGACGTGGACATAGCTGAGGGTCCATGATTTTGCTCACCACACCAAACAATGGATTTGCAGTCTTATTTGTACCAGAATTCCACTTGTGAGCGCTTATCTCAGATAAGTGAAAATGTACATTCATTCCAAAACCTGGATATTAATGTTTAAAACAGTTTTATTTGTGGTAGACAAAACTGAAAATAATCCCAATGTCTTCAATAGGTGAAGAGTTAAATAAACTGAGGCAAATTCATACCATGGAATACCATGGAGCACAAAAAAAAAAAAAAGAAAGAAAAAGAAAAAGAAAAGGACCTATTGATACATGCAACATCTCATGTGAAAGTCAAGGAAATTATGTAGATCATGCCTTAAAATGCCGTGTACTGTGTGATTTCATTTATATAACATTCTTGAAATACATCGAGAAAGATGAAGAAAATATTAGCCGCTGTCAGGTGAGGGAGCAAGGAAAATCAGTAACTGTAAAAAGTAATACTTAAAAAGCAGTAGGATGAGGGAGACTTTTGCTGATCTAATAGCTGTGTATCTTTTTTTTTTTTTTTGGAGAGGTTTTGTTGTTGTTGTTGTTGTTGTTGTTGTTGTTTGCTATAGGGCACGTGCACTCACCAGAAAGAGAGAGACA